GCTTCAGGTTGTGACCAATTTGGGGTGCGACCAGAGTCACGGAACGAATTAAGTTCGTAAACCGAGGTTCCACTGTAAGCCATAATGTATCTTGTTTGTTGCTAGCGTAGCATGTTGAGTGTCAGTCCTATGACATAGATCAGACTAAGAAACAGATACTGAGTAGACCTAAAGCTACTTTTATTAGAACAGCTATACAGGTAGTCTTCACTTACCAACAGCAATTGGGATTGGCAACTTCGTCACTAAGTGATGTGGTCATAAAGTGAAATGTCACATGACTGCACTGACTTATGTCAATTCCAGTTGTGGTTGTTAAATGAATTACCCGCAGTCGTTAAGTGCGACACAACTTGCGACTTCCTTCAGGCTTCCCCATTGACTTTGCTTGTTGGAAGCTGGCTGTGAAGGTCGCAAATGGTGATCATGTGACTGTAGGACCCTGCAACTGTCATAAAGGTGCACCAGTTCCCAAGCACCCAAATTGCAATCACGTGACCGTGGGGATGCTGCAATGGCCACAACTTCGAGGACCAGTTGTAAATCTCCTTTTTCAGTGCCTTTGTAACTTTGAATGGTCGCTGAATGAGCAATCAGGAAGCAAGGACTACCTATAATAACAGAATCATACAAGTCTGAATGTGCTTCTCTTCCTTCCTCTTTTATCTTCATGTGAATTAAGGTAGGTCCCATATGGGGCATTTTCATAAACCACTTTCTTGGCCTGGGCTCAAGCCCCATCTGATTGTTGCATTGGTAATGGATAGGCAGAAATAATGGAAGACAGATGGTCTTTTAGGTAATCACCCTATGCTGTAAAAGCGTCATAGGTGATAACCAGCCTCTTGAATTGTACTCAGAAGCCTACTGGTAACCAGTGCAGCTCACAGAGAAAAGGTGTTGCATGGGCATGAAGTGGCATGCCCATAATTGCCCATGCTACTGTATTCTGAACCAGTGGCAGCTTCCAAGTGGATTTCAAGAGCAGTTCCTTGTAGAGCTCAATGTTCATTGGCAAGGTGACCAAAGTCTCTGGACTGAATGGACCCCATAAGATGGTGCATAAGATGGATTTGTATTAAGGCCTTCTTAGCCACAGCTGCCACTTGTAAAGCAGAAGCCATGAGTCCAAGAAGACCCCCAAAGTGCACACAAGTCCCAAAAGGGAAAGTGCAACCCCATTAAAAATTAAAGTTGAAACATGCCCGATCTTGAGGGCTGTTCAAACACCCACAGCCACTTGGTCTTATCAGGGGTAAGCTTTGATGGTATTGAAAGCACTACCCCCATCCTGGCTCCACCAAAGATCATTAATGAGCACAACCAATGCTGTCTTGGTGTTATGTCCTGGCCCAAATCCTGACTGAAAGGGATCTAGATAATTTCCTCCAAGGACCTCTGAAACTGTAGCCCAACCACATTGTCAACCATCTTCCCTAAAAAGAGGTTGAAGATTGTGCAGTGCAGTTGGGTCCAGTGAAGGGCTCTTGAGGAAGGGACACACAACTGCCTCCCTCAAGACAGTGAGGATCACCCCTCCTTCAGCAAATTAAGCTGTCATTAGTCCCAGCCACCTTCACATTGCTGGCTATCATAGATAGAAAAGGCTGAGCATAGATAGAAAAGGCTCAGTATTTCTGGATGCAGGATCAACTATCCCACATGCCATAGAAATAGCATGGTCATTTATTATAGGGCTACTATATCCAAACTGCCCTACTTTGACCAGCTTGACACCAAATTACATTTATGTTATTTTTCATAATATTTTGATGTGAGACATTTCAACAATAGCACACTATCTCTTACCTGATGTCATTCAAAACCAGGAGAGTGATTTTAAAACAGATGTAAATGCCAGAATACTAAGCATTTCAGCTTTAAAGAACAGGCAGTGAATAATTAAAATATAAAACAATGTATCTCTAAATTGGATTCATTTATTGCTTCAATTTAGCTACTGTATTATTTCAGAATGCAATCCCATTTTCAAGTCAAACTAAACTTAATAGGATTGACTTCTAATAGACAAGAAGTATCTGCAGTAATACATATTATGTACTGTATTACTCATTATATTTCGGTTGAAACACATTCATGTCTGAAAAGCATTAATGAGCACCATAGGAGATATCTGTAGGTACTCCAGTAATTATGAGAAACATGTTGCCTCTCCCTGTTTGAAATGAAAATAAATGATAAGGAATCATGAAACTGGGATTCTACGGTAAGTTTTGGATACAAAAACCCAAGATTCTAAGACAGTAATCATTAATCTGGAACTCAGCTATGTTGAACTACAGGTACCAGCATAGTTAGTCAACACAGCCAAACTTTCTTACCTCTAAAATTTCATGTAATGAAATAAGCTGTACATCTTGCTCTTCTGATGAGTGCTACAGAAATCAAAAGACAAGACTTTTTTTTATATTTGAGATCTATGTTTACGAAGAAAAATAGCATTTCAAAGATAGTTATGAATTCCTGTTTAGAATGCATTTGCTACTTTTAGGCTTAAAATGGTATTTATCTACAACTAGTAATGGCAGGAATGTGTGCCACATTTAAAAGAATATTGTTTGGAAAGAGGATATCCTTACTTGTATGATCAGATAACTTATACTGTACAAAATACTTAAAAGAGGTGCTTTGCAATACATGGGAATGTGTACAAAACACTTCCTTTCCAATTGCTAAAGCAGCCATATCTATTGGAAACTGCTCCTGGCTGTCTCTGCATACATATGTATACATAGCTACTTTGCTTCACTTTCAGCTCTGAAGAGCTGAGATTCAAAGATTCAGCACAAAGAGTTCTGAGATCACATGCTGGGCAATCTGTATACTGCTTCTTCTGTTGGACCATAGAAAGACTGATAAAGCCATTGTTCTCATCTAAACATTCATCTATTTCTTCTCTTTCCAACTCTGAATTGAACTGTTCTGTTCCCAAGGATTCAGTGTGGCTTCTAATCTTGGTAAAATTTAGCTACAGAGATTGCCGAGGTATAGTCTTGTCCAGATTCATTGAGGATCTATCTCATCCAAGGAGGAGACCTTGGCAATACCAGCTTTTAGCATACAAGGCAGTTTTGGAGTATTCAGATTTAGAGAATATCAGCTGTCATTCATGAATAGTAAGCTTTTAGTTATGATGGATAATTATTTGAAAATGTACAGGTAGTCTTGCCAGAATTAATGGGCTGGGAAACAGGCTTTGTGCACTGTCATGCTCCTATTTTTCTCCATCAATATTTAATATTTAAAGCTTCTATAGTATACTTAGATGTTGTATTGACTACATAGTATATCTGCCAAAGAAAATATACATTTACCTACACTTTTCTAGCAGTCAGACAATACACTACAAAAGAAAACTGTGCTCTTTAAAAAGCAAATATTAAAAGATTCGTTTTCAATAATCAACCTCTCTCAAAATATTATAGAAAACAAGGTTGTAAAGCTGTAAAGTGCAAAGCCCACTGCTCCAGTCTTGTGCATCTTTAAATTAGATTTTAAAAATTAATATATGAATATAGGGTAAATCTCCAGAAACTCTGGCTATGGCCAGAGGACATAGTAAACATTATGTTCTTGACTCTATCTGGAAGAAAAAATGATGTATCACACCTATTGGTTCAAACAGTAGTTGGTCTTATCATGAAGCACCTTTATGGTCACCAGAAGATAAACACATCAGGAAAGAGTTAATTCCAAGTCTTTTATTCAGAAGGCAGAGCTTAAGTCCCATGGAGTAAACCCCCTCCCTTACAGTAGAACTTGCAACTGGCAAAACACTTGGGTCTGGAAGAACAATGTATATCCATTAGTATAAAGCAATAAACCAGAAATTAATTTCATGGTAAGTCCAACTACTGCTATCACCAAGGACTGAATCAACAGGAAAAGGATATACAAGAGCAGTCAGTATGTGGTATGTGGGTGGGCCAGTATAACAGTGTGTAGTATACTTTGTATAATGGTATGGCTAAAGGCTATGTCTGAGGAAACAAACTTGTATATTTCATAAAAGCAGATGACCTCTACAAATCTCTGTTAATGACACTTTTGCTCCTGCCATTTAGGTAGTTGAAATAGCCATACACATATTCCTTTACTAAGTATGTATGATCTCAAAGATAGAGCTGCCTCTTATTGGCTGTGTATGTCAGAGCAATGCACTTTCTAAACAATAGTGAAATAAGAAAATTGTCTCTCCTGATTTCCTGTTTTGTAGAAAACAAATACAGCTGTAAAAAACTACATGTCTTCTTTTGGATTTCTGGAATTTTTGCATGTTTGCTTCTGCCCCAAATACATCTGCAATAGAGTCTGAGTCCTTGCATATCAGACTTGTGTCAGCCTGGGTTTGAATAGAAATTTGCTGAGCTCTCATGACCACCTCTGAATCTATGATCCATTTTCCTAGTGACAAATGGTGCTAACTCAGCTACCCATTTTGATAGCCAGTCATACTATTGACATATAACACATAGTAGGAGCTATACTGGTTACCAGTATGTTTCCAGATGCAATTCAAAGGTGCTTTAAAGGTCACCTATAAAGTTCTATATGGCTTAGGGCCGTATAGTATCTCAGCATCTTTGAGATTGCCTAGTTTGTGTAGAATCTGCACATCTATTGCACACACACAGAGTGACTGATGAAGTTCCCTTCCAATTAAGATGTTCAACAGAAGGGGGCATTCTCTGTAGGAGGTCCCATCTTTTGGAACAGCCTGAACCCAGAAGTAAGAACAACCCCGTTTCCTCCTAATTTTCCATAAGTCTGTTAAAACCTGGTAAGGCCTTTAGGAAATAGAATAGAGAGTTAAGTTAGGTATGTGGCGCCATCTACTGTACTATAATATTGTATTATATTATTATGTTTATTATAAATTATATTTTTGTATTTTTATATTATATGTTTGTACACTACTTAGAGTCTATTGGAATTGAAAAAGTATATGAGTGTCATAAACAAATCCATAAATATAAAGAACAAATATTTTTAATATGAAAATGCAAATAAACCTACTCTTTTCTTTTTTGCAGTTCCACTATTTTCAGGAAGTGGGAAATGTTCTTCAAGGAAATCTCCCAGTGCATTCAAAACATCTTCCTTATAAGCTTTTATTTGCAGCATTTTACTTTTCAGTTCCTGAAAGGCTCTAAGATATAAAAAGATTAAAGATTATGGACTTTCTAAAAAATAAGTAGTAGTAATAATTTTATTTATCATGTGCTTATAACAAAGCACAGTACAGTTAAATAAAACGATAACTAATGGCCATGTATGTGTATCAACTTCTATACATTCAAACTAATAGGTAAAATGAAGGTCCAAATGTCATAAAATAATTACACTGTGCAAATAGCTCAACGAATGACTGATTGCTTAATCATAACACATGGAGCCATGTTAGGACCAAAAATTTCAAGAATAACCTGTAAGTTATAGATTAGGGTGAAAATGCTTTATCAAGACCACAATTCTAGATTTGATTTGGGTTTAAATGACATAGTTATTATGACATGGATATTATTACTCAATTATCCCAAATAATTTGATACTGCAATCTGCTTTATCTTAAATTAAAAGTTAGAATACCTTTTTTCAGAAAAATATACTACTTGATTACTCATTTCTTCCTCTGTTTGATTGAGACAATCTATAATCTGTTGCTGTTCCTCCAACCATTTCTGTTCCCTTTAAACATAGATGTGAGAAGAATAAATAGCTAGTTCATATTTTACAGAATTGCAAAACAGTTTCAGTACAATCTATACCTTATAAGATCTTCTTTTAGTTTTTTATTCTTTGCATTAACTGTTGATAACACCATTTCAAGTTCATGGTCTAATTTCTGCAACTGAAAACAAAAGAATTGTATTTTCAAATCATTATGCCATCAAAATCAGAACCTCATCTTTTTTCAGTATTAGAATTCTTTCACATCAAAGCCTTCCTTCGATATGCTCTGTGATATACATTAGGCTTATATTTCAAATTTGTAGATTCCAAGTTGAAAATGGAAGAAATTATACCCATATAAAGAGTACAAATACTTTTCATAAATTATTTTAAGATATTCTAGGATACATAATTGATTGTGTAATGTAAACACTCTGATTTAATTCAGGATAAAATATTGTATAATTTTTAATTTATGAATCCATAGCCAAATGATCTATACATATCAATAAAATCATAGCTAGCTCTGTTATTTCCAGGAGGAGGGAATGAGAGGGAGCAGGACCATCATGGTAGTTGTAGAAGGCAAAGGACACAGTGGGAGTGGAAGGTAAAGTTATCAGCTGAAGGAAGGGCAAGTCTGGTGCCTATATACCATCTCCTCTTGAGGCTTATTTGCAAGCTAAATGTAATGCCAGCTAACATAGAGGTCCTGATTATTTCTGACTTTGTTCAAGAATGGGCCAACTTGGTTGCTTATGAATGACTAGAGGGGATACAGATCTCTCCAGGTATGTCTACTCACAAATCAGGAAGAGCGCCAAACATCGCTTTCAGAACAGATGTGTTGGAGTGGCCAGCAGTTGACCAGTCCTGATCATTGCTACCTATCAGCCTTCTCTGAGCAAGGCACAGCAGTGAATCACAGATCTCCTGAACTTCACAGCTTAGCTCAGCTTTCAGCTGGACTTGGCAAAAGACTCAAAGACCAAGGTCAGCAAAATTAGAATCTTTATTGTGGACCAAATTATTACCAAACAACTGATTGCCCAGTGAAAAGATGGCAGGGACTTTAAAATTGAGGTTTCTTCTTCATTCTTACATAATGGCTACTTCTAGCCTGAGAACTGCCCACCGTCTTATCACCAACTACTATAGTACCCAGCACAAGAAAATCTTTCAAATCTAGGTGTGATTTCATTTGTTAGACACAGTATAATTCATTATTTAAGTAGAGGCACTACAAGAATCTTCCCTGGTAATGCTACATAATAATTCTTTAACTATTACACTGAAATCTTACACCTTCTAGGATTGCTTGTTAGCCCCCAAATCTGGAAGAATGCAAAAGAGTAATTATTGCAGATGCTATTTCTATAAAACTTAACTATTTTTATAATCTACTTTCTGATTTACAATAGGTTTCAAGAATTTAGGCAAGCCTCTTCTGATATTCTTCCTTGCAACTGATATTTAGAAGTACATTGTCTCTAGCCTGGAACTAACATTGAGTCTCAAGATGAATAGTCCTTAATAGTCTATTTAAAAGCCACCCAAATTAGAGGTCATAACCATGGTTTGAGGTGACAAACCACACTACATCATGGCTGATGATCTATTCCTAGGCTGATGGGTCACAAGTTGGACAAGCCTATCTCCCAAAGGAACCAATTATGCCAGAATAATTGAATTGAAACCAAAAGAGTGAGAAAAGAATACAGTATCTAGTTCAGTTCCACAAATATTTCCACAATCCCAATGGAAACTGTAGATAATTTAGCTCCTGTTGTATTTCCTCTTGTACAAGTAACTCTGCAGGCATATCATTGCAGCTTTTCTTATGTAATACCCTACTGAGCAATGCTTCAGGTGGGCAGCAAAAATTGGAATTTTATTTCAAATGCAACATCTTGCTTTTAATCATAATTACAATTCCTTAATCTGGTGCCTTCCAGATATGTTGGACTACATCTACAATCCTATATTAACATGACCAGAGTGTTCTAGATTCATCTTAATACACTCCAATTACTTAATCCTAATTTATTTCTGTACCGCAGCCACATACTATACAGTAAATTCATTTAGACATAGGTTTCTTAGGGAAACCTAGTCACAAATTCCTACAGTTACCCCTAAAATTATAATTTTACAAAGTTACAACCATCTCATTAATTAACATACATACCTGGTCTCTTCCTAATGCTACCAGAACATCTGAATTTCTAGTCATTACTGAAAAAGAGAATATCTTGTCAGAATTTTTTTTTAAAGGTTTCTTTGTAACATATTTTATCTATCTATCTATCTATCTATCTATCTATCTATCTATCTATCTATCTATCTATCTATCTATCTATCTATCT